AATATTCGTGGCGTGCGAGGTCCCGGCCCCTTGGCTCGACGGCCGGTCAATACGCGAACGCGAGAAGCGGAAGTCTCGGGTCCGCCGCGGCGAAGTAACGAGCATTAAATTGTATATAGTTGTCGCGGTTTTAAAATAAAGAGAAGGGCGAAACACCGGAAAGAGTTGGCGAGGTCGCGGTTCTTTTTTTTTCTTTTCTTTTATTTCCGGTCCTTTCCCCTTTTTGCGCCGGTCGCCGACTGACGCCGGCGACCGTACGGACTCCCCCGGCCTCCGACTTAAATCACCCCGGAGCTGTCGGTCCCGATCGGGACGAACTCGGGTCAAGTGGCCGACGCGCGGACGGCGACGCCGACCGCGGGGCCCATAGTTAGTGGGTGCGATTCGCGCACCTGGCGCCCACACGGACCTGTGAAGGTCCGACTTTAGTTAGCGGCCCGAGGTTCGCCCGTCGGCATTGCACCGGCGACTCGGAGAAGCCGAGTCGCGAATATAGGTCGCACTTTCTAAAAGGGGACTATGTTGAAAAATAAAAAAAATTTTTTGAAAAAATGGTGTCTTCATTTCTAACACGGGTACTTATTGAACCGCCCTCGTACTTCTACACCTGGTAATATTGGAAATCGAATTCGTCAAAGTTACATTGATTTCAAGTTTTTTTATTTTTATTTCTTTTTCTATCGTATTCTTCATTATGATATTCATTGTAATATTTTCAGGAATTCCTTACCATCTACCTACGTCGAAGGTTTTCACGACCTTGAGGCAGTCAGAACTATGGAATACAAAAAGCTCGGGAAAACAGGTTTAATGGTCAGCAAATTGTCTTTCGGCAGCGGTCCTCTCGGTTATCATTATGGGTAAGTTATTTGTGGTACAGCCTCTGGCCATGTAATTAGACGCACCTTAATTTTTTACAATTCTTTAACTTCTGAAGACCAGCTTTATACTACGGCTCATCAATCTATCGATCGAATTATGGAACCATTATTCTATAAAAGATATTTTTTATGACGTCATTTCACTTGACTGTTACAATAACCTTACAATGACCTTGAACAAGTATGCTCCACATAAATCAAACCCACACTAGTTACATTGTTGGTAATAACGAGAACAGAAGTGTTTTGAGTGTATATTAATTGAAATTTAGTTTTATTTTTATCTATTTGTGACTTAAAATTTCAAATTTCTTGCTTACTAACAGAAAAATATTAATATTGTTTATAAAAATTATGGGTAAAACAGTGATTTGACGCCTTAGAAAGTTGCAGAAGTAGAAGCGTTGATTGACACTAAAAATTAATCTAATCGAATAAACATTGAGTAAACATAAAATAAATAGCTTTTCTTCTTTTCATAACTTATATTCTATTAAAAAATCAAAGTGCATCTAATAATATAGTTAGAGACTATATATGGTTGTTATAATTAGCGATGCGGATTTTCTTATATAATTAAATTATTACTAGCACTTATGATGAAGCAGACGCTATCGAGGCAGTACGGCGAGCAATAAAGCAAGGCGTCAACTTTATTGACACGGCACCGTTTTACGGTCAAGGTCGATCAGAAAAAACACTTGGCAAAGTACGAAGAAATTATTAACATAACGTACAAATACTTGTAATATTGTTTAATTATCACAAGTATCACCGCATGTATTACAGAGAGAGATAGTTGACATTTTTAAAAAACATCTCAAAAAAGTTTTTAAGCAATTTGTACAATGTGGGAAGTACTATATATATTTTACTATATACACTTTTTTATTCAAATAAAATTTTTTATCCTATAGGCGTTGAAAGGGATTCCGCGACATGCTTACTACATTGCGACAAAAGTCGGCAGATATGAGTTAGATTACGAGAACATGTTTGACTTCACGGTCGAAAAAACCAGGAAGAGTTTCGAGAAAAGTTTGAAATTACTTGGCGTGGATTACATCGACGTTATTCAGGTAAGAGACAACGCGCGATATCAAATCAATCAATTACGCATAAAAATTCAGATATGAGAATGAGCCAATTAAGGTCTAATCGCGCATGTTAGTGCGAATAATATTTCAAGTGGAAGAATATTAATATTTGAATGTATGATAATGTGCACGCCGGATGAGTGTCTAAATAATAATGTGCTTTATGAATCAATTTTTTATGTCAGACAGAATCCTGAGTTTCAATTATTTTAACATGAATACTCTTTATTAATCCTTTCTAATTATTAAATTAATTAATATTGCTTTGATTCTATTCAGTATGTACGTTATTGTCCGGAGGCTAATTCGGTACGTGTATTATCATACGTTCAAACATTAATATCTTCCTACAATTTAAAATAATTGATCAGCAAAACTATTTTATTAGGAATCGATTAAAATTTTAACTGCATATTAGTGGAAATACTGTATGTCTGTGATGTTAGAAAACGAGTGATCGTTCGAAAGCTAAAATATTCACAATTGAAATTGATATTTTTTATACATGTTTTTTTTAGGTTAATCCTGCTATTTCTAATTGTTAAATTTTAATTTCTAATTCTTATTGTTAATTTCTCCTAAACATATTTAGGTTGTAATAAATTTGTATATTTTACCATATTTAAGATTTTAATGAAAAAGTATTATATGAATTAAACTATGATATTAAGGATTAATATATATAGATCTAAAAAAATTTCAAAATTATTAATCGCTTTATTTAAAAAATATAGCAATAGGAAATTTATTTACAGTAATACCGGCAATATATATGTATTCACATAACGCTTTTTCTATATATATATATAGTTTACTATTCATTGAAAGAAAAATAACCCCATGTACGAGGTCTGTTCAAAAAGTATCGCGAATTTTGAATTTCCGCGG